GGGTGCTGGGGGAGGAGAGAGGTGGGTGCTGGGGGAGGAGAGGGGTGCCGGGGTGGGTGCTGGGGGAGGAGATGACGGAGGAGAAAGGAAGGAGGGGCGGGGGGTTCAGGAGAGTTTCTTTGTCTGGTTCTCCGGGTCTCTTGCCTTTGCCGAGGTGGGAAGGGGGCGTGTTTCGCTCTCTGCTCTCGGGGACTGAGCAAGTGGGGAACGAGGGTCTCTGAGAAGCGAACAGGGGGCGCGGGGAGCAGATACCGGCCCGACTAGCGATGGGGGAAGCCGGCACCGGTACCGGCGGGATGGGGAGCGGGTAGGATCCGATGTGATGGGAGAAACAGGTGCCGGTCCGGGTGGGGATGGGGGGAGCCGGTACCGGTCCGGGTGGGGATGGCGGAGCCAGTACCGGTCCGGATGGGGACGGGGGAACAGATACCGGTCCGGATGGGATGGGAGCGGAGAGAGCCCAGTGTGAAATGTGCAGGGGTTTCCACGCGGTGGGGCTGGGGTTCTATGATTAACTCGCTGTGCGCCCCCCATCTCTCCCTCCTCCCCTGGACCCGTCTCTGTCTTGCTCCGAAGGCTCCTCCCTCCTCCACTCCAGCCCCGGGCTAGCAACTAGCTGCGGTGAGCAGGTGGGTCTCTTGTAGCCGCTGGCCTGGAGACCCTGCCAGGTGGCCGCTGGGCGTGACTCCACGCCATAATAACCTACGCCCAGGGGCCGCTTGGCATTAAAAGGCCAAGCATTCTATAGGGGCACGGAGTGGGGATGGAGGGGGCACTTTTATAAACAGCGCCGGATTTCTGTTAACCTGCAGAACTCACTGCCGCAGGCAGCATGGAGGCAAAAGATCTGAGATTTCTATGCATCAGAGTCCCGCTAACGCCATCCAAGCTGAAACGACAAGGGTCCCCTCACTCCTCTTAGGAGCAGGGAAAGATTTCCCCTCCTCCTTCCCAGCACAAAGTGCCTAGCACACAGCTGGCACCATAAAATAAAGTCATTAATCCTCTTCATGGTTTTATTATTACATTATACTGGGTGCATTTCCTGGTGCTGAGGGCAGGAGGAGTTACAGAGGGCAATAACTTTCCTTTGCGTCACCAAGAGACAGGGATACTGACCTAGGTGGACCATTGCTTCTCTTCCCTGCCCTGTTCCCATCAGTCAGACAGCTCTAATCCCCCGTCCTCTTTTTCCTCTCCCCTTGTCTTTCTCCACTGCTCCTCTTCCCTCTCTCCCAGCTTCGACCCCTTTGGGGTCTGTCTCTTTCATGCTTGCCGGCACCACTGCAGAAAACCATCTTACGGAGTTACTGATCAGTCATAGTTTTCATTAGGGATTCCCTATGCCCCCCTAAGCCCCGCCCTCCCCCCCCCCCCCACGACCTCATTGTTATGTACATTTGGATGAAAACTGGACACTTGTTACTGACGGATCCATATCCCCAGTCTGTGGCATCTGAGTTTGTGGCTGTGGAGAGGAGGACGGGCCCTCAAAGGAGGGATTGCATATGAATCCAGGTGCAGAAGCGGCAGCAGGGTCCAGAATAACGACCAGCCTGTTGGAACACAACTGTTTATAAGACGAGATCAGGGGCGTTGCAATGGACAGTGGAACCTTACACGTCTACGTTCAAATCCCAGACAGGTTGGCAGTGACTGAAAGTTATCAGGTGCTGGCCTCTCTGAAATGTGTTTGCTGGTCTCCATCCAGAGCTAAACACATCATCTAAACGGACACGCTGCCTGCCCCCTTGGTGGCCACTGCAAGGAGGCCAAGGACTGAACGGTCCTCGGAGGTTCATCTGCACAGTTGTCCTTAGACTGTAAACTCTACAGAGCAGGAACCGGCTCTTTGTTACGTGTTTGTACAGGGCCTTGTGCGAAGAGGTCCTGATCCCTGATTGGAGCCCCGAGATGCTACCACAATACAGGGCAATGTAGTGAAGTTGCTACTGTCTTTTCTGCACCTGTTCTGGGGATATAATCTTGGCTTTGGGACTCAGGGCTGTGTGATTCCAGCATCTTTTGGAGACACGATGGGTATGTCTACATTTCAATTGAACACCCCCGACTGGCCCATGTCACCTGGCTCAGGCTCGCAGGGCTTGGGCTACGGGGCTATTTAATTACGGTGTAGACCAGGGGTTCTCAACTGGGAGTCGCAACCTCTCAGGGCGGGGGGTCACGAGGTTATTACATGGGGGCCGTGAGCTGTCAGCCTCCACCCCCAAACCTCGCTTCGCCTCCAGCATTTACAATAGTGTTAAATATTTTAAAATGTGGTTTTAATTTAGAAGCGGGGTCGTGCTCAGGGGCTTGCTGTGTGAAAGGGGTCACCAATACAAAAGTTTGAGACCCCCTGGTGTAAACATTTGGGCTTTGGAGGAGGCTCCCTTAAGGAGGGAGGGTCCCAGAGCCCAAGCTACAGCCTGAGCTTGAAAGTCTACAAAGCAATTAAACGGCCCCATAGCCCGAGCCCCACAAGCCCGAGTCAGCTGACATGGGCCAGCCCCAGGTGTTTCACTGCATATGAAGAGGAGAGATTAGCTGCAAATGTGCAAAATAGAAGGGGGACAGCGTAGAGAAACAGAATGTTTCCAAGTTTTCCAACAGTTCTTAGTGCATCTTTGAGAGCAAAGTTGTTCTAAATTAGAGATGGTAGGAAGCTGGATTTGCATCCAGATCTGCACTTCAACCCTCCAAGTTCAGGAATGCTTGGATCCCAGGTTGTGTTTCAGCCCTGCTCCTCTGATCTCAATCCACTCCTTTCTCTTTGTTCAGCTTTCTTGGCCTATTGAAATGAAAGCACTGTCTGACATGGGTCCTCTGGAAGGACCAAGTAACCAAATGGGGGCTGTCTCTATTCCCCTCATGTCTTTCCTTGGCTTAGACATGCCCCTTGATTATTTTAAGGAGAAGAACAGCTTGCCCACTTTTACACATACACTATGCATCCTGTCCAGAAGAATATGGCTCACATGGGAAGGGGTTGGGTGGGAGGGGAGCAACCTGCTTGTCTCACCCTCAAACACTGGGAAGTCTCAAGCATCCCAGTAAAAGAACAAATGGATAAAATGCTCATTAAATTCAAAGTGAAAAGTGTGAGTATAATTGGCCAGCTGACAAAAAAAATCAGGCTGTTTCCAAGGACAATAAGTCCTCAGCATCAGTCTACAGAGTGAGAGCTAAGGAGCAGGGGTGGCTGGAGCTACTGAAGTGTGACAGATGTTTCAGGGAAAGCCAGTCACTAGGTTTGTTTGTTTCTCAAGCAATCCTTGCTGTTCCACATATTATTAGCCCCCCCACCTTGCTGCAGATGGGGACAAACTGAGACAAAGAATTAAAAGGAGGGCGTCAGTGCCAGGCTTAGAATTCAAGAACTACTCGCTGCCAGCGCTGTGCTCGGCCCATCAGCCCATCCCTCTCTTTCTCTTCCGCATGGCCTGTGCACTGTTTTTGTAGCAGTATCACTATGTCCATTAGGGGTAGGATTTGTACCAACAAGTTATATTGGTTCAACCCTCTACCGTGGACACCAGATCATTTATTTAGTGAGATAATAGTTTCCCTCCTTGTATGTGAATAAGCTATGCCTTTATAGTGGTATACCTGTGTCCACATTAGATGGGTTGTACCACTTTGGCTATACGGGCATAGTAAAAGAAATGCAACTTTTGTGGGTAGGCAAGTCCATTCACCTCTCTCTGGTATGTTGCCCTTATGAAGCATTGGCATTTCCAATTGACATTGGTACTTAGTTTTCAAAGACTTGCCTGATTCCAGGCAACTGGAACTTTAATCTTGCAGAGATTTCCTTCCTATAGGTCCCTCTGTGCTGTGCCCTTTGCTTCCCCTGAAATACTCAGGGCAAAGTTCCCTTGTAAGGCTTCCCTCTAGAACACACCTTGGGGAAGCTGTGACATGAGCGTGGCTGTTTTCTTATTCACCTTAGCCAGTGTGGCGTAATGGGAAATAATTGCCCTGCCCCTCTGCCTCTCACTGCAGGGAGAGACAAAGGCTGGTGGAATAATTATTGTCAGTAACTGAGAGTAAAAACGTGGTTCCCTTTGTGAAGTTTAAAGGGACAGTGTCCCCTAGCAAGTTCTGCAGGGATCCATGCCCTTGCTGACACCAGGTGACTTCATCAATAAGCCATCCTGGTGCACACTTGACACTGAGTCATGCTTAATATGT